AATCCGAATATATCCCTTATCAAGGTAGTCTGAAATAGTTTGATTATAAACTTCAGCTACGGTTGCGTCTTTCAACAGCTTTTTTCTCTGTATTACAGAGACGTTTATAGGCCATGTTGTAATTGTCAGGAAGACTTTTTGAATCTGCTTTCCAAGGTATGCCTACCTCGTATTGCCCATTGTCATATGTGACAGATTTTTGCACAATGTAAACAATCGCTTCAGCTTGCTTAGTCAAGATGGGTTCTGATGACTGAAACTCTTCTACTTCCCAAAACTTGTGAAGCATAGTGTTAAGTTCAATCTCCTTGTCATTTGAAAAGTAAGTGCTTGAAAGTCTCTGAAGTCCTGATTGTTCAGGAACACATCCCACACATGTCCACCCAAGGGGAGTAAGTCTCGCTATTGGTTCCCCATCAGAACCAGAAACATCCTCATAAGAGCGATGTAATTCAAGATAATCCATACCTATCAGTAAATCTACAATGTGAGGGGCTTTTACCTTAGAGAACTGAATATGCTGCAAATGCGACCATCGCTTGGAATGCTTTTGCCAGTCAACAACTTGCATTTGACCGGTGACCCGAGTGGTAGTTAAAGCAGACATTGTCCGATCAACTGACCCATCCATGCTTTCAAGACCGAAGTGAACAGCCATGGTCTGAAATTTCTTACTTTGTCCATTAAGAACATTGAAAGAGACATTTTGTACTTGACCGACTAAGCCCAATTGTGAGGATACATCTTCATTAATGTACGTTTGTGTACTTGCGTCGTCTAACAATGCATTTACAACAATTCTGTTTGGGCCGTTTTTAAGAACAACAGGTACCGTCCGAAGTGAAAGAAGTGTAGACTTATCAGGTTTTGTGGACGACATTGTAGTGACCTTTGAAACTTGACCTTCATAACTGTTACTTGTCTCAAGTTGCTGTGCTTGCTGTCTATTGTCCTTGTTGCCATAAGGTACGCCATGGATACTGTTATTTCTATTTGAATGGAGTTACTTATTATGCAAAGCAGGGCAGTTGTCAATACCACATTTGATATTGCGTCTGCATGTTTTTCCAAAGTGATTGAAACCAAAACAACGGAAGCAAAGCTTTAACTGCTTGATAGTTTCCCATCTCTTCTGAACCGTCATTGCTTTGAATTTTCTACATGTCACAATGTCATGGTTGTCCATATGACACAGCTGACATCTGTGGTCTCTTTCAGTCTGCTTATTGCCAAAGAAAGACCCTAACTTGTTAGGACATTTATGGATTGTTGTCTTTCCTTTAGCAGATACCCCATGGATTGTTTCCGAAGCAATAATCTGGAATTCTGCTTCCATGAAAACCCATTCACGTAACGCTTCAACTGATTCCTGTCGTTGAGCTTCAAAAATCCATCTTTGGTACTGACTAATCATGGATGCCGTCATTTTCTTCAGGAGTTGAACATACATAGACCCATTACCTAACTCCTCAAACCTGTCAGAATCCCTCATGTCTACAACAACTACATCCAACATATCAGCAAACTGTTCAAAGTCTTTTGCATTGCCAGGTCGCACTGGCCTGAACGATGATATTTCTTCCATTTGGAGAGCAATATGACGTCTCTTGCCACCAAATTTACGTTCCAACCTTTCAAGTGCTACCCCATATGCTGTAGCGCTATGACCCAAGTCTTGAATAACCTTCATTGCATCATCACTTACATATTGGCGCAACTGAAGCAATTTATATTCTGGTGTGGCAGGTGCTTTGTCTATACATGCTATAAATGCAGCCTTCCAGGCTTCATATGACTTGGCATCTCCAGTAAAGACAGGTATGGACACTCGTTTCAACTGCTTCCACATGTCTTTACCAATGTCATAACTATGTGAAAGTGTAGGTGCCCTATGATCATAACTATCTGAGTGGTCCCTCACCATGTGAACTGGTTCATTGTTTTGTTCATGAATGCCTGACTCACCTGTGACTAACTTTTGATAAGTAGTATTGTTTGTCCTATTCCTGAGATAATCTTGTGCATCATCTTGAGCTTTAGTACCTATTTCTTCTAACAGTTCACCTTCTTCAGTGACCTTAGACATTTTTTGTTTATCACCAACAGTTTCCAACATTTCTGACAGGTTCACGATAACTTCCAAAGCCTTAAGCTGGCAATTGCTTAATTTGTCTATAGCTTCCCGAACTTCCATTCTTGATGGAATCTCTTCTTGTTCAATTAACTTCTCCAAAGCATTTTTCGACTTAGTGAAAGCTGACTTAACTATCATTTTTTGCCGCTTAAGATTGTTTACTTTAGTTTCATAATCCTGTTTGTCAACGTTTGAAATACCATCAGACTCAGGTAGAGATATGTCTGCAACTTAAGCATTGAAAACACAATGTCTAATGAAATCACACTTATGTGTGATAAAGCAAAGAATGGTATCGCAACAACCACGCTCTGCTACCATTTGCTACGCAGCAGTGGAAGACTTAAAAATAACTCAACAATTTTCAAAGTTCACTGTAAGTTTACTTATAGAAACATGAACCAACGAAATATTTCAACGGCACTATATACAGCAATATGTCCTAATTTGACATAACACGACACGGTCCTTATGTGACCACCGAAACCATCATATGGTCCAATTGAAAGTCCTTATTTGACTTCTTTCTATTATGCCCTGATTTGGCACAAAAAGAGACAGTCGCCGACAGCGTGGCTGCTCTATCGAAAACCAAAAACGAACTGCCTAGTTCAGTGACAAATGTACACTGTCGCAAGCTATTGCGCAATTCTGCACGTGGTTCACGCACGGCTATCCAGCTCTTTTGAAGTGGTGCGTTCGTGTGAATGTTTGGGTTTGTTCGGACCTTCTGTCCAACTAGTTTGTACTCCAATTCATTTATCCCTGACACGGTAAACATCTCGAACGCTCTCCCTCCAGATATCGTAAACGCCAATACTCTTGGGGAATTCAAAAACAAACTAAAAGAACACAACACCAGTGAAATCTACTTTAATCTTTCCCATGGTTCAAGATCTTGCCAGATAATCCACTCCCGACTTCGGCTTGGGTGTAGCGATCTAAATGGAGATAAGTTTTCCAGATATATATCTGATAGTCCTGAATGTAACTATGGGCATCACACCGAAGATGCGCTTCATTTCTTCCTCATCTGTCCCATATTTAACGACATGAGATCAAATGCATACTTCTCTAGTAGAGGATTTAACTTGCCATCAATCTTATTTGGTCATTCGGGCTCATCAGAACAGGTAAATCTGGAACTACTAAAACCGGTACATAAGTATATCATATCTTCCCAGAGATTCTCGCAATTTACCTAGCCTAGTTTTATTGTACATGCCGTGCCTTGCTGCTATACTGAGATCACAACAGCTTCTAGTTTATTTGCCTTCAACGTATGTTTGCAAATTGTAACACATTATATTGTCAATATTGTTCCTTGTAGATTCACAGTAAGTTTTGCACCCAGCTCATGTGTACGTCACTATCATTATTGTTAATACTATTGTATCATTGTTAGGGAGCGGCATTGATATAAGCATGTTTTTATGCTTGTTTACTAATCCCATCATGACTAAATGAATAAATATGTTTAAACCAAGCATGCTACCCATTGATATCATTGATATCTCTGCCTGGGCGAATAAAATCAAATATGCCCTCTGTGTCATTCATACACGTTAATATGGCCAGAAGAAGACTTTCATTGGGACTGACCAGTGATGATCCGGGTTAGAATAATTGATCTTCAGCAACCCATGTTTGTCGTAAGAGGCGACTAAAGGGATCTGGTGGTCAGGCTCGCTGACTTGGTTCACACATCGTATCCCAATAGCATAGATTGATGCCTATGCTGTTGAGTACTGGATTTTCTGGTCCAGACTCGATTATTTACAGATTGCAGCTATATAGCTGGAATATTGCTGAGTGCGACGTTAAACAACAAACAAACAAGCAAATCATTCGAATGAGACCGCAGATAGTGGGTATAGATGCAGCTAGAACGTCATTCAAGGTCATTGGATGGTCGCTTGAGAGCATTACCATGTGCTGAGGAATATTTGCCCTGTTGTGGAGGCTGACATCCAGGCACGTGGCGGATACACGATATTCTGATGTCAAAGACCTCAGTAGACTTCAAGGGGCCTATACAGACCGCGAGATCCGACACTTTCTCATCACGTGTCATCCCAGGATAGTTTGTTTTCTATGATCGGCTTTTCCATAAAATCAACTGCGTTGACTTTTCTTACGTACAGGGCCTACATATTAACACATTGCCTACATTTTGCAGGTTTGTCTGTAGTCAATTATCCAACCTTCCATCAAACAATCAGGCATTATTGTCCTAGAAGTATGAAAGTTCTGACACTTCTCAGTTGCACATCAGTTAGTTTCAAGATAAAAAATGCAGGTTGTAGGAGAGAAAAGCAAACTGTTTCACTGGCAGCACGTATTGTAATATGGAGCATCTCCAGTAGATAGTGTATCCTGAGGTCAAATGACCTTTTCAACAGTCTCGGCAACAGATCCATTGGTCTCCAATACCAACGATGTTCTGTTATGATATTGGTTTGAAAAGATATTCAAGAAACGGTAACAACTATATTTTTCTAATGTACATTCTGTGTACTGCGACAATCACATATTCCGCATCTTCGGATACTAAGAGGGGGGTATGTTTTTACGATGCTTTTAGTAATATTCTAGTAATATCACTGCGGAAGACCCCCGAAATGGGCTTCACACAGTATACCCATGAGTTGAATGGAAGCCGGATCTTTAGCGTGACGAGCCCTCAGATACCGCACCTGTGGCATAACATGTAACTTTTCTCCACAGGAGTCTAACTTCCCGTCTGAAATACAGATTACAAAGCCGTATATGATCGGATTGGAGACACTATTGATGAAATACGACCTCAGGAACAAACTGTACAGCACTGCCCCAGCTCCTTGAATGCCTGCAAACGTTTCCTTAGAGGCTGTTGTGGCCGCCATTAAACACAGATGAGGAAGAAAGCTCAGTACAAATACAAGGGTGATCAGAAACAACATAAACAGTGTCTTGTGTGACCTCTTGTTGTTTCTTGACGATGAATGTGTACTTAGCGTGCTAGCAACATGGACATCTTCTGGTGGTTCCAAGGCAGTAGAGGTACTTTTCGAGGAACACATTCCTTCATCTGTTTCAGACTCTCCTTGACGAAGGTGTTCGTCAGTTGGTGGGCTCGATTCTGACGCTGCACACGTGTTTTCAGGAGCATGAGACTGGACAGTAAAGGACACGATAGATGTGTGTAACTGCTGCTCTGGGTTCTACCTGGTTCTGTTCTTGTTGAAGAATGTCCTACGTCTAGCAGCCTGCCTCCATATTAGGCTGTAGAGGACAAGAAGGCATAGTGTAGCAGCCACGAAAATGAAGAACTGAGCACCATTATAGATGCTTGGATATGGCGTCCCTCTGTAGTCGTCTGATATCGAACAATCTGAACCGTTGATGTGGATGTTGTTTGTGGTCACTGTCTTTACACCGTAGATAATAGCAGCCGGTAAGGCGACAATCAAAGACATGACTGAACACACAGCGATTGTGACTTTAGCATCTAACCATGTTGCCTGTCTTTGAAAAGGTCGGCAAATTCTCCTGTACCTGTCCACTGCTACAGCTAGGAGAATGGACCCAGACGCATACGATACAAATTCCATGATTACTAGCATGACCTTGCACAAGCCGTATCGTGCTAATGTGTATATATATCTCATGTCAGCTATTTCATGAGGTATGCATATGCCACAGTTGATAAGGTCAAATATTGCCAGGGCTATTATATATCTATTGGTGGGGCTTGGTTTGAACTTTGCAATGTACACGTAACAGACAAGCGAGTTCCCCAACAAGCCTAGCACCATCAGAACAGCAAGACACAAGATGACGGGCAGAACCTGGAGGGCGTGACGATCGTCGTAGTCACGATGGAAAGTCTTAAGGTCGTTCTGGAAACTGGCGTTCTCCATCATGTGCAGAGATTGCTGGAACATCTGAATGACCGATGGGAAAACTGTTCGTCTCCTCTGGACATCAATGATGACCTGAAACAGTAAATACAATTAGCTTTGTTCTGATTAACATCTATTTAGGTCATGACCCTCTGAATCCTTAGTAAGAAATGTTGACTGTTCTTGCATGGTGGTCAGCGTGCTTTCATTATGCCATTAGCTCAGAGTCAGCATTTACCATTATGCCATTAGCTTAGAGTCAGCATTTACCATTATGGCATTATCTCAGAGTCAGCATCTACCATTATGCCATTAGCTCAGAGTCAGCATTTACCACTATGGCATTAACTCAGAGTCAGCATTTACCATTATGCCATTAGCTCAGAGTCAGCATCTACCATTATGCCATTAGCTCAGAGTCAGCATTTACCATTATGCCATTAGCTCAGAGTCAGCATCTACCATTATGCCATTAGCTCAGAGTCAGCATTTACCATTATGCCATTAGCTCAGACTCAGCATCTACCATTATGCCATTAGCTCAGAGTCAGCATCTACCATTATGCCATTAGCTCAGAGTCAGCATTTACCATTATGGCATTAACTCAGAGTCAGCATTTACCATTATGCCATTAACTCAGAGTCAGCATTTACCATTATGCCATTAACTCAGAGTCAGCATTTACGTGGGGACCCAACCAAATACTGGGCCTTACCACTGGAACGATAACTCTCAACCGAGGTGTTCTGTTAGGGATTAAAATCAGTGAACCGTACTAATCCTTAGGACAATGTGGATTAAGGCTATAGTCTGTTTTAGTAATGCAAGTATGCCAGCAAGTCGTCACTGAAGAAACGTCACTTCACTGTAGCTGAAGTGGTTCCACATCAGTCTCTCTCCTCCCTCGACTCAAAACTCGATGATTTCTTCTTGATTTCACTCTAAACTTATAACCATTGAATGCTAAACTGAATGCCATTGTAGAAAGTGGTGAACTAAATTGCCGTTTTATAACCACCTGGCTCATTGCTGAATGAGGAAAGTTCATATTTACAAGATTATATTTACTCGCTCATTGCTGATTGAGGAAAGTTCATATTTAGAAGATTATATTTACTGGCCTATTGCTGAATGAGGAAAGATAATATTTACAAGATTATGTTTACTGGCTTATTGCTGATTGAGGAAAGTTCATATTTACAAGATTATATTAACTAGCCTATTGCTGAATGAGGAAACTTCATATTCACAAGATTATATTCATTTACCTATTGCTGAATTAGGAAAGATCATATTTACAAGATTATGTTCACTGGCATATTGCTGATTGAAGAAAGTTCATCTTTACAATATTATATTTACTAGCCTATTGCTGAATGAGGAAAGTTTATATTTACAAGATTATATTTGCTGGCGGCTCATTGCTGATTGAGCAAAGTTCATATTTACAAGATTATATTTATTGACTCATTGCTGATTGAGGAAAGATTATATTTGCAAGATTATATTTACTGGCTCATTGCTGAATGAGGAAAGTTCATATTTACAAGATTATACTTAATTGCTCATTGCTGAATGAGGAAAGATCATATTTACAGGTTGACATTTACTTACTCACTGTTGAATGAGGAAAGATCATATTTACAATATTGCATTTACTGGCTTATTCCTAAATGAGGAAAGTTCATGTTTACAAGATTATATTTGATGGCCTATTGCTGAATTAGGAAAGTTCATATTTACAAGATTATATTTGCTGGCCTATTGCTAAATTACAAAAGTTCATATTCACAGGATTATATTTACTGGCTTATTGTTGCATGAGGAAGTTCATATTTAGAACATTTTATTTACTGGCCTATTACTGAATGAGGAAAGTTCATGTTTAAAAGATTATATTTAATGGCTCATTGCTGAATGAGGAAAGTTCATGTTCACAAGGTTGTATTTACTGGTTCATTGCTGAATACGGAAAGTTAATACTTACACAATTATATAGTTGCTGCCCTATTGCTGAAAGAGGAAAGTTCCTGTTTACAAGGTTATATTTACTGGCTCATTGCCGATAGAGGAAAGTTCATATTGACAAGATTATATTTACTGGATAATTATTGAATGAGGAAAGTTCATATTTGCAAGATTGTATTTACTGGCTCATTGTTGAATGAGGAAAGTTCATATTTAGAAGAATATATTTACTGGCCTATAGCTGAATGAGGAAAGTTCATGTTTACAAGATTATATTTACTGGCTTATTGCTAAATGAGGAAGTTCATACTCAGGACATTATATTTACTGGCCTGTTGCTGAATAAGGAAAGTTCATATTTACAAGATTATATTTACTGGCTTATTGTTGATTGAGGAAAGTTCATAGTCACAAGATTATATTTATTGGCTCATTGCTAAATTAAGAAACTTGATATTCACAAGATTATATTTACTTGCTTATTGCTGAATGAGGAAGTTCATATTTAGAAGGTTTGCAATTGGTTTACTTGCATATTGCTGAATGAGGACAGTTCAAGTTTAAAAGGTTATATTTAATGGCTCATTGCTGAATGAGGAAAGTTCATATTCACAAGATTATATTTACTGACTCATTGCAGAATAAGGAAAGTTCATATTTACAGAATTTCATAGTAGCTGCCCTATTGCTGAATGAGGAAAGTTCATATTTACAAGGTTATATATACTTACTCATTGGTGATTGAGGAAAGTTCAAATTTACAAGATTATTTTTACTGGCTCATTTTACGCCGCTTTTAGCAATATTCCAGCAACATCACTGCGGGGGACACCAGAAATGGGCTTCACACGTTGTACCCATGTGGGGATTCGAACCCGGGTCTTCGGCGTGACGAGCCAACGCTTTAACCACTAGACTACCCCACCGCCCCTATATTTACTAGCCTATTGCTGAATGAGGAAAGTTCATGTTTACAAGGTTATATTTACTTTCTCATTGCTGAATATGGAAAGTTTATGTTTACAAGATTATATTTACTGGCTCATTGCTGAATGAGGAAAGTTCATATTTACAAGGTTATATTTACTGGCTCATTGCTGAATGTGTAAAGTTCATGTTTACAAGATTATATTTACTGGCTTATTGCTAAATGAGGAAAGTTCATATTTACAAGAATATATTTACTGGCTCATTGCTGAATGAGGAAAGTTCATATTTACAAGGTTATATTTACTGGCTCATTGCTGAATGAGGAAAGTTCATATTTACGAGATTACATTAGTTATGTTTACTGGGTTATTGCTGAATGAGGAAAGTTCATATTTACGAGATTACATTAGTTATGTTTACTGGGTTATTGCTGAATGAGGAAAGTTCATATTTACGAGATTACATTTGTTATGTTTACTGGGTTATTGCTGAATGAGGAAAGTTCATATTTACGAGATTACATTAGTTATGTTTACTGGGTTATTGCTGAATGAGGACAGTTCATATTCACCGTTTTTGATGTCTTTGCAGTTGTCAGTTCAGTCCATCGTTACATCTGGGCACACATTCTCTCTTCATTTCCCCAATGTATTCCGTACTTATTAGAAGGTGCAGGATATTTTCCTGAACTACGTTCAACCATTACAGATGGATGACTACTAGTCTATTAGAGTGTACTTCAAAATGGAGAAGTATTGACAATGAAATGGGTTTTGAACTTCTATCATATCATTATATAACAGACACTGGGTGTGTTTCCTTCCCTGTTGGTCGACTTCCTCATGCAAAGGAATCGGGATTTATAAATATTGTATTCTTAGTCTTGGCGTTCCTCATACTGAAATGCCTGGACTTATAGTGAAAGTGGCATAAAACTTTATTCCAGATCCAAGATGCTTTTGAATGAAAACCTTGGTTGAATACATACATTTCCCTACTTCCTTGTGTGATATGTGACTCGATATTACAAACTAAAGTACTATAGTTGATAGCAGTTGATATTGTAACTGGTTTTGACAAATTCGGTGGAAAACGTTATTCACAAATCCTATGAGCATTTGACACTAAACGCGGTGATTACATTTCAGATATCGCCCGAAACTTAAGCAAACAAGTGATATGATGTACTTTCTCGCAGATAGCATCTTACTGAAAATTGAAGACAAGACATGTAGTCAGTCGGTCTCATGTCTGATGATGCTGGAATGGTTTGTCGCTTTAATCATTGTGCACGTGTGTGTGTGTGTGCACGTGTGTGTCTTTGTGTGTGTGTGAGCGTGCGTATATACGCCATTTTGTATTAGAAGTTTATATTTCAAGCTTATACAATGCCTATGCCAACATTGTAGTACTCTGTTGTTATTGTGAATGTAAGGTGGTATCCAACTCATTACAACATATGACTAGTAAGGTGAAGTCTACCGTATGATAGGACAGGATTTCAACGATGAGTGTTCACATTCGGTTCCCGTCTCCTAATCAGGACCCCATTTTACGCAGCGATCGTAGCGCAAAGGTGATCGTAACTTCCTACAAAACGTTATGCCCACAAACGACAATGTTGATTACCGCTCCCTGATACACACAAACGTTCCGAATCGCTAATCGCAGTTAAGTCGTTCGAGTTTATGATTAAAATATTGTTCCTAAATGATCATATCTTATCTCTCTGCCCTTGACCACCTTATCACGTTGACATGTAACTATATATATGAGTTCTCAGTCAAACACAAGCAGGTGTTGCACAGTGTACATCTTTTCATTTCACAACACACCCGTTGTCCAGTAGATCTGACTGCCCGGGGGTCAGAAAGGGCAAGGGTTCGATGTTCTGGCCACGGCATACCAAAAAGACTTTAAAATATGGTACTTAATTAAGAGGATAAAACAAGGGCAGTTGATGTCATTTCTATCCATGCTACTACCAGCCGCCACACACATACGTGTTACATATGAACCACATTTCACTGTATGTCACATCATAGAAGATTTGGTTGTGCGGAATTGAGTTTTCATATTCCATCCATTTTAAGATGAAGGGATACTAAGACCGCGAAACATTATCGGAAAACCACCTCGGATCAACGATGTAGTGGACAACGACACGTTCTAGCCAGCATAGACTACCCCATCAACTCCACGGTCTGCTTACTGCATGGTGGAAGCGGTTGAAGCGTTTCGAAATTTCGAGTTCGAATCCCACTTGGATCCCGCATTCACTGGAATATTATTCAAATCGGCATAAAAGTAACTGAAGAACATCTACTCGACAGAAGGCCATATCATACATTAATATCTGAATATTTAGTGTATCTTAAGCCGACATTGCGTTCATCTGTGTCCTGAGAACAATCAGCTGCAGTCGTTACCTGACCCAAGTCTGCTATCTGTAATATGTCTGGAAATAGACTGAGTAACCCAGTCATGGTTTGATAAATGGGAAACGACATAATAGGTACTACTGTTTGCAGTCATGTTTCGCTATGTGAAGCCACGAGTTCGGACATGTTGTTAATATAAGGGTAATGCTATTTTTGAGGGCATTATCATATGCAGAAGCCCCGAGATCTTCCATTAACTGCCCGACGAAGGAGGGCAGTTGAAAAAGACCGAGGGCTTCTGCAAATGATAATGCCCTCAAAAATAGCAGCATTACCGTTATTATTGCTAAAATACATAGAATTTGTGTTGAAAAGAAAAAGGAAACAATGAAGAAATTTGACTGTAAGCTTACCCAAATCAACTTCTGACGGAGTTGACTGCCCGAATTCAATTACGTCATCGAACAATTTAAGTGACGTCACAACAGAAAGTGACGATATTCGACCTTGGACTTTGACAATACCATAGCCTACAACATGCCAAACTATGTCAGTGTTCTGTTTTGGTCCATCAACAGCCTTAATAGTGCAATTGTTAAGGTTAGCACCAACAAGAAAGCCAATATTACCGCTATTTAAAGGGGGAATTCGGGTTGCTTTGACTTGTTTGACCCAGAATATCTGCCAGTCGAAAGCCAATTAATGTCGAATGAACCGTAAGCCCACGCACCCACTATGACGTCACTTGACAACAGAACTGATAGTGGCCCGTCGTTAAGGTTGAGCGGTCCAATATTATTTGCAGCGGCCCGCAAATTTCTGATAATGGGAGGGCCGTTTCATGATAATTCCATGTATTTTAGCTATAAGACAAGTAAAATTGATGTATAGCTTGACCACTAGTACATCTAAAATGCACATTGGGTGCACAAGTTGTAATTTCAGGACGTGCCCAAAACGAAATTTCATATTCGTCTTTTCTCATGACAGAAACAGATCATCGTGGGTTCGAATACCAAAGTTGCCATCATGACGTTTAAAGGGTTGTCAGCACCACAATCGTGGCTGATTTCACCAAAGTTGTACTCGTCTTAGACCTGCAATACTTAGGGATTTTCTTTGGGGAGGGATAGGATAGCCTAGTGGTCAAAGCGTTTGCTCTTCACGCTGAAGACCCAGGCTCTATTCCCCACATGGGTACAACGTGTGAAGCCAATTTCTGGTGTCCCCCGCCGTGATATTGCTGAAATATTGCTAAAAGCGGCGTAAAACCTCACTCGCCCACTCACTAACTCACTCCGGGCTTTCCTCCAATATCAAGTCTGAATGATCACTGAATTGCTGTTAACAGGTGCGTCCGACCATACTCACTGACTGTGATATAATATCCACCGGTCAGTGAAAGTGAAGGAACACAACCATATAGCGACATGAGAAGGGAATAGAATAAAACGGCACCGTAGTTTTAGTTAAGAAGTATTAACAAGAAGATATGGAATGCATGTTGAATCAGACCAAAAACAGATGGATGCAAAATACAGAGTACCTGGAGTATCACTGCCTTTGAAATCCAGTCATTTGAGAAGAGGCAACTTTCCTAATATATATACACACTGATCATTTTCTGTTCCACTGAAATATAAAAGAATAAATACACATAAGATAATGACGGGCGGGGGACAAGCATGATATACTGTTGGCCTATTCCAATGCCCCCAGAAAGTCAAGACTGATATACTGAGGACCTATTCTAGATACAAATGTCTACACTGAGTCAAACATCATATGCTGTTCACCTATTCTAGATACAAATATCTACAAAGAGTTAAGCATGATATACTGAGGACCTATTCTAGATACAAATATTCACAGTGAGACAAGCATGATATACTGTTGGCCTATTCCAGATACAAATGCCCACAGAAAGTCAAGACTGATATACTGAGGACCTATTTTAGCTACAAATGTCTACACTGAGTCAAACATCATATGCTGTTCACCTATTCTAGATACAAATGTCTACAAAGAGTTAAGCATGATATACTGAGGACCTATTCTAGATACAAATATCCACAGTGAGACAAGCATGATATACTGGTGACCTATTCTAGATACAAATGTCCGCACTGAGTCAAGCAAGATATACCGGTGACCTGTTCTAGATACAAATGTCCACAGTGAGAAAAGAATGATATACCGAGGACCTATTCTAGATACAAATGTCCACAGTGAGACAAGAATGATATGCTGGTGACCTTTTCTAGATACAAATGTCCACAGAACGTCAAGCATGATATACTGAGTACCTATTCTAGATGGAAATGTCCACAGTCAGACAAGCATGATATGTTGCTGACCTATTCTTGTTTTATTAAACAGTTGGTAACAGGAGACGGAGTTAGCGTTTCCCGAACAACCTAGCAGCTGCGTGTCATTCTGTACTGTGTGCATTTTAGTCATTGTGTTATGGGTGGAGATTCCTTCTAAAATCCTGAAAAAGGATGCTGTTTCAATGTGTTTGATGCAATCTGCATGTTTCTGACTTGTGGCCACATCGATATGATGCACATATTTCTTATCCTGGTAGAAAGGTTCCGGTTTGCTTAACGTTATCTAAAATAAGCTTACCCATGAAAGCATAGTGATGTCGTTTTATTAGCATAACTTGCGAGTCATTTCAAATATTCAATATTTTCATCCAAACTTCGAGTATTTTTCTCGTTACTTTCATTATTGTTTCATTATTGAATAGATTTCAATCTATTTTTAAAATATAAATGTTATTATATACTTGGACAAATGGCAAAATAATCGAGGTAACAAGGAGAGTTCTAGAAAGTAGTTAAATTGCAATAAAATACAATACAACCAGAAATTATTGAGAATTTAAAGATTGTAATTTTTAATTTTTTCACTCATTACTCACGTATTAAATGTGAATATTAGCAGAACATAACTCCAGATTCAAAGACAGGTGAACAGTTAGTATTTTGTCAAGTCACCATGGGCAGCAACGCAGGCTTCAATGCGGCGGGGCATACTACTGATGAAAGAAGTTAGGAAGTCGTGGTCCATGCTGTCCCAATATCGGACCACCCAAACATTTTCTATTGGATTTAAGTCAGGGCTATAGTTTTGCCAATCTAATAATGTCATATTTTGGGTCCGAAACCAGGCCTGTGAATGCTTTGAACGATGTTTTGGGTCGTTGTCCTGCTGGAAAATCCAAAGATTTCCATAGAACACGTAAGCAGATGGAAGTAAATGTCCCTCGAGAATATCTGTGTACCGCTCACTGTTCATATTCCCTTCAAATACACAGAGGGGGCGTTGCCCCTAACACAGATATGCCACCCCCACACGTTAAATTTCGGACTGTACTTTGGGCGCTGATACAAAGGTTTTTCAGTTTGTTTGGTCCAGAATTTCAGTGTATTAGGAAACAGCCACACAGAACTTTCATCTGAGAAAATCACATTGTCCCAGTTAAAATTTCTATGCTGTAAGCACCAGTTCAACTTTCGCTCCTTTTGTTCAGGTTTCATGATCGGTGATGGAATTCCTCGACTTTTCTGCCAACCCATTGCATGCAGCTCAGTTCTAATTGTCTCCTTACAGACAGCCACAGTTCCACTATCAATCATATCCAGCCTTAGGTTTTCTAAACTCCTTCGTTTGTGTTTAGAAACAAGAATACTAAGCCGCCTCCTGTCGCCGACAGTCAATTTTCTGGGCCTACCTGCGCCTCCCTGGTGCTCAATGCCATATCCATTTGCAATATTTTTCAAAACACGATAAACAGTGGACAAAGGGATGCCTGTTCTACTTGAAATCACTTTAGCTGATCTGATGTCCTTGTTATAATATACTGAGTCAAAAAAGAAACTTCACAAAATGTAATTTGAAAAATAATGAATAATTTTTCTCTGATGATACATCTATGTATCCGAAATTGGATCCCTATCTTTCGACTCTACAAAAACGTTAGTAAAGCCCACTCAAACCCATCCATTCGTCGTGCAAATGACGTAAGTGCCAAATCAGGTTTTGCACGTGCAGTCGATCACGTGATCTTTGCATCGAAGTTTTCTTCATATGCACGTGTTTGCATTGGCCTCAAGAATGGAAAAAACACTTTTAAACCACAGTTCTAACGGTACTTGAAATGCCACGATTGTCAAATGTGCAACGTGAACGTGCCGTTGGCATGTTGCAAGCGGGAAGATCAGTTATTGACGTCGCAAGAGCAATGGGATGCAGCCGTCGTACTGTGTATGACTTGCGAGGTCGTCTACAACAAACTGGCACCACTTCTGATTGCCCAAGGTCGGGTCGTCCACGTGTGACGTCAAGAGCAGAAGACCGTCAAATCGTCCTATGTCACCTACGTGACACATTTCTGCCGGCTACACGAACCAGGGCTGAGATGTTTAGAGGTCGACTGTCCTCACAGACCATTCGAAATCGGTTGCGGGCTGCCAATCTCCATTCTCGACGTCATCAACGTCAACGTCTGCTGTGGGCCCAACGTCACCTCCGATGGACCCAGAGAGACTGGAATCGAGTCGTCTTTAGCGATGAATCCGGGTTTACCCTCAGATTCGCGGACGGCAGGCATAGAGTCTGGAGACGACGTCGTGAACGGTATGCACAATGTTGTGTACAGGAAGTCGACAGATTCGTTGGCGGAAGTTGCACAGTGTGGGGTGCTTTCTGTGGGAACAACCGTTCCCGACTTCTGGTCATCCGTGGAAACCTCACAGCTGCTGCTTACCGCGACCAGGTGCTCACCCCTGAACTCGTTCCTTTCATGGCGGCTCATGGCCCGGTCTACAGTTCCAGCATGATAATGCTCGGCCGCATACCGCGATGTTGACACGAAATTTCCTTCAAAACGCTGGAATCAACGTCATGGACTGGCCATCGAGGTCCCCTGACCTTAATCCAATAGAGCACGTTTGGGATGCACTTGGGAGAAGGCTTCGTGGTCTTAGGAACCAACCTCAGAATTTGCAGGAACTTGGCGCTGCCTTGCAAGAGCAATGGCGCAGAATCCCCAACCACGTGTTCACAAGCATCAGGCAGTCGATGAGGAGACGGTGTTTGGCAGTGGTGAAAGAGCGGGGCGGCCATACACGATAATGAACTGAGAAATTTCGCATTTTTATTCTTGTGACTTGACATTCTGTATACCCATGTTTTGGAACGGCGGTGTAGCCTAATGGAACTGATTATGGCACTGTCAGTGTATCGAGTACATCACACAGATCTCAGCAATGAAATAATAACAATTTAACCATCTTACCATCTCTTGTTCTTTTATAGTGCCCTGAAGAAAGAATGTGAAGTTTCTTTTTTGACTCAGTATACTTATATACTGTATATACTGTTATAATAATTGTTATAAGCAAGTAAACAAAGGGGGATAACTCTTCACAAAAACTAATGAAAAAGGATTAACGGAGCTGTCTCTCTTAAATGAAACCAAGCACTTGATAGCTGGTCAAGGTTGTTTATACTAGAAATCCAATTAAACATATTCCTAAAATTCTCAATAATTTCTGGTCATACTATATGTGAAGAGAAAATAATCTAAATTTCGAGTTTTTAAAATAAACTTTAATAACGAGAATACAATCGAGTAGCAAGAAAATAATCGAAATTTTGAAAAGTACATTCTTAAACGAAAGGAAAATCATAGAATAAAATTGGAAAATGTCGCGTTTTTTAACAAACAAAAAATACCCACCCGCCCTCACCTCCGCAGCGACTTAAAGTAAAGAAGGACAGCAGGATGTTCAAGCATTACCTAATTAGGGGGTTCAGAGAAGGTGGTGATCTTCACTTCCTTGTTGGCGTTTTGCCACGTCTGGATGAACCTTCGAATTCCGTTCACCCACACAGTAGCAGCAGGAGACGCCCGGGGGTCCTTTATCACGAACGTCATCACCAGCTGGGTGGAGTTCTGATAGTTGCTGCCTGAAAGATCAGGAAATACTGGCTGATAAGGGAAAATGTATCAATCTATTTATAGTAGTACTTGAATTCGCAGTTCGCTGTGCAAAGATATAGTTTCCGGGTCATTGGTTCGAGTTCCGTATCAGTTTGACTATTATCCTTGGTTAATCTGTGCCAGTTACGTGCTACTTGAAATTTGGTAACTCCAATGACCCGCGTGTCTTTTGGCTTTCTTCCAACTCCATAATTTGTTGGAATAATGTTTTCCTCAAACGCCTTAGTTGAACAGAGTGAGACCAGGTTTTTATTCACGTTTATTTATTATACATAACTCGATTATAAATATTGTTGACTTTAACTGTATATTTTGGGTACAGACGCATCTGTGGACATCGACACATTTCGCTGAGACAACTCACATTTGCATAAAAGTTACGTTACTTCATGTTGTAATGTTGCTGTGTAAACGTGACACATGACGTCTATTTTACCTATAGAAATAGGTCGTGACATGAGGACTGGAAGGTTGTGAATAGTGAACCCTGTATATTCTGAACATTACATTTTAATGAAATGGTAATCAAGACCTACTTAAGAACACACCCCCCAAAAAAAAAACAACAACCCAAAAACCCAAAATCCAAAACCCAACAAAACAACCCCACCCCACCCCAAACAAAACAAAAACAAAACAAAACAAAACAAAACAAAAACAAAACAAAAACAACAAAAACAACAACAAAGAAACAAAAAAAGAAAAAGAAAAACAAAAAAAACCCCAAAAATCAAAACAACAAAAAACAAAAACAAAGCGAAAAAAACATTACAAACAAAACAAAACAACAAAAACTGTAG